TGAATGTGGACTTCAGTAAGGCTTTAGATAAAGTTCCACATCAGAGGCTATTGAGAAAACTTAAGGCACACGGAATAGGAGAAAAATTTTTCCTCTGTAGAGGTATGGTTGACAAATAGACAGCAGAGAGTTTGCATAAATAGGGAGAAATCAGAATGAGGGCACGTCACAAGCGGTGTTCCACAGGGGTCAGTGTTGGGCCCCTTATTCACAATTTACATAAACGATATAGATGAGGGAATAAATTAGCGACATAAGCAAGTTTGCCGATGACACCAAAATAGGCCGTCGAATTCATTCTGACGAGGACATTAGAGCACTCCGGGATGATTTGAATAGACTGATGCGATGGTCGGAGAAGTGGCAGATGCAGTTTAATATTGACAAATGCAAAGCTCTAAATGTTCGACAAGAAAATAACCATGCGTCATATAAACTGATCTCAATATTATTGATTGCGAAAAGGATTTAGGAGTTCTGGTTAGCAGTAATCTGAAACTAAGAAAACAGTGCATAAGTGTTCGCAATAAAGCTAACAGAATCCTTGGCATATATATATCAAGAAGCATTAAAAATAGAAGTCCTCAGGTTGTTCTTCAACTCTATATATCCTTGGTTAGGCCTCATTTAGATTATGCTGCTCAGTTCTGGTCACCGTATTACAGAATGGATATAAATGCTCTGGAAAACGCACAGAGGAGGATGACAAAGTTGATCCTATGTATCAGAAATCTTCCCTATGAGAATACACTGAGGGCCCTGAATCTGCACTCTCTAGAAAGGCTTAGAATTAGGGAGGATATGACCGAGGTGTATAAATGAAAAAAAAGAATAAATAAAGGGGATGTAAATGGCGTGCTGAAAATATCTAGCCAAGACAGGACTCACAGCAATAGCTTCAAGCTGGAAAAATTCAGATTCAGGAAGGATATAGGAAAGCACTGGTTTGGTAATAGAGTTGTAGATGAGTGGAACAAACTCCCGAGTACCGTCATAGAAGCTAAAACGTTGTGTAGTTTTAAAAATGGGTTAGATAAATACACGAGTGGGTGTGGGTGGGTGTGAGTTGGACCTGACTAGCTTGTGCTACTAGGTCTGATGCCGTGTTTCTTCCTTAAGTGGATGTGGCCTGACTGGGTGGGTAATTGGTCTAAGCCGGGGAGTGACATGGACCTGTCTCGCATGAGTCAGTAGGCCTGCCGCAATCTTCCTTCTTTCTTATGGGAATCTTTATTGAAGAAACGTTGCGCCACACAGTGGCCATCAGTTCAATACAAAGCAGAAAGGTGTAAGGAGAGGAGGAGTTTGAGGTAATCAGCCCTTCAGCCTGGAATCGATGTGTTCAGTCCATCAATCTTGTAGAACTGGACTGAGCACATCGATTTCAGGCTGAGGGACTGATCACCTCATAATCCTCCTCTCCTTACACCTTTCTGCTTTGTATTGGACTGATGAAGCCACTGTGTGGCGAAACGTTTCTTCATTAAAGATTCCCATATGTTGCATATGTGTCTCAATCTTCAACTCGTCGGTTTTAAACCATTCGTCACTTTCTTATGTTCAACGGAGACATTCCAGCCGCTTAGATACAGAAAGAACTCGAAATGACCACGGAATAAAAAAAAAAGCAAGCAGGCAATCTTAGAACGAAAGGAATATGTAAAAGATTGCTAGAATAATATTATCAGATGATCTATCGTTTAGAGAATACATTATTATAAGCGCCACGAAAGTGACAGGGAGGAGCATGAGAACTTTCAAAACAAAAGAAGCCACGCCATTTATGGTGCTATTAAAATCACTTGTGCTCTCATGTCTGGAATATCGTTGTTCTCACGCTTGGAATATCGTTGTGCTCTCATGTCTGGATATCGTTGTGCTCTCGTCTGGAATATCGTTGTGCTCTCACACCTGGAATATCGTTGTGCTCTCGTCTGGAATATCGTTGTGCTCTCACGTCTGGAATATTGTTGTGCTCTCACGTCTGGAATATCGTTGTTCTCTCACGTCTGGAATATCATTGTGCTCTCACGCCTGGAATATCGTTGTGCTCTCACGTCTGGAATATCGTTGTGCTCTCGTCTGGAATATCGCTGTGCTCTCATGTCTGGAATATCGTTGTGTTCTCACGTCTGGAATATCGTTATGCTCTCACGTCTGGAATATATCGTTGTGCTCTCACGCCTGGAATATCGCTGTGCTCTCATTTCTAGAATATCGTTGTGCTCTCACGTCTGGAATATCGTTGTGCTCTCATGGCCTGGAATATCGTTGTGCTCTCACTCCTGGAATATCGCTGTGCTCTCACTCCTGGAATATCGTTGTGCTCTCACTCCTGGAATATCGTTGTGCTCTCATGGCCTGGAATATCGTTGTGCTCTCACTCATGGAATATCGTTGTGCTCTCACTCCTGGAATATCGTTGTGCTCTCACTCCTGGAATATCGCTGTGCTCTCACTCCTGGAATATCGCTGTGCTCTCACTCCTGGAATATCGCTGTGCTCTCAGTCCTGGAATATCGTTGTGCTCTCACTCCTGGAATATCGTTGTGCTCTCACTCCTGAAATATCGTTGTGCTCTCACTCCTGGAATATCGCTGTGCTCTCACTCCTGGAATATCGTTGTGCTCTCACTCCTGGAATATCGTTGTGCTTAATGCGATTTTCAAGACAAGAGAGATAGAGCTAAAAACATTGAGAGATACCGTTTATAATACTGCATGTATATATGACCAATAAAACAATTAACCTACAAGGAACGGCTTAAGAGTACTTGGAAATTCCTTTTTAAAACGAAGAAGAGAAGGGTAGCTTATAAAATACACATGGAGAATACTTGAGGGTTGTAGCCATAACCACTAACCTGAGTGAGATACCGTTAAGAAGTGTAATATAAATCCAGTAAAAAGCGAGGGCAACATAGGCATAATGAGAGGATACTGAACACCTGTAGTCCGGAACTCTTCAGCCTTGATAAATTAGACACATGTGCAACACTTGGGTATCTTTATTGAGGAAACGTTTCGCCACACAGTGGCTTCATCAGTCCAATACAAAGAAGAGTGGTGAAGATAAGAGGGAGTTTGAAGTAATCAGTCTATCAATCTTGAAAAAATTGATCGACTGATTACTTCAAACTCCTTCTGATCTTCACCATTCTTCTTTGTATTGGACTGATGAAACTATTGTTTGGCGAAACGTTTCCTCAACAAAGATACCCAAATGCTGCACATGTGTCTAATTTACCAACCTGTCGGGTCTCGGAATCATTTATCTTCAGCCTTCTACCAGCAGATAAAAGAAATAATGTGTACATAAATTAGAAATATTAAAGAGAAAAGCGGACCTCTACCTGCAACAAACGGCTGATCAGCCAGGTTGTGATGGCTATGTAGTCCAGCGGGTGGTTAACAGGCTGCCTGATTAGGAAATCAACAAGGAATTGTGGCCTCAGGCCGGGCTGCCAGCGCTGACCTCTCAAAACCAGAATAGTATAAACGTTTATGACCACTCCTTGTCATGACGATAGGTGAGGTTACCTGGATGCTGGGGCAGGGCTCTTGATCCAGATAATTGGAGCTATATTTTCATCGAAACAAACATTATCATGTGTAATTTCCTATTCGCTGTATAACTTCAAAGGGTTTAGCGCTTCTCTATGAAAATATTAATAACAATAATTAGTGCATCTTAAGTGAGGATTTTACTGTATTTCTTGAAGCGCTAAACCTGGGTGGGTCATTCGGCACAAGGAGTAGAGGAGGCTCGATCCTATGTCTATTAATCGCAGCCTGCTTTCTTGATCAGCCAGGCTACTGGTGATGGCTCTGAGATAAGGAGCGTCAGCAGGTGAGCATCTCCAAGTACTCAAGGTTACAAGATTTAAGTTTGTTCACCATAACCCCCACCACCTTGCTTTCCACACCATCACTACCTCCCACAACCCCATCACTCATACCCCACCATTCCTCCCAACACTCCCCTTCTTCGCTCTGCATCCAACGCCTTCACCCCATACACCACTTTACCTAAACATCCCACCACATTGTCAAAACACTTTCCCTCTCTTCCCCAACAACCCCACCACCTAACTCCAACAACCACCACCGTAGTCCAACACTGCACTACACACCCCACCACCCTTCCCCAACACCCCACCACCCTTCCCCAACACCCCACCATACCCCCACTACCCACATAATACTCGGCGGATGCAATCCACAAACGATGACAGTCGCTTTATCAAGGTATTAGTGGGGCACAAACCGTCCTGGATTTATAACTTATTATTCCTAACATTGGATGATGGTGGGAAGTTTACCATTGCCTACCAACAATTAATAATAAATAAAGTATATGGTTTGATACAAATATTGTTAGTGAAGTACGTAGGAATATTTGTTAAGCTCTGGAGGTGATTTTCCAGTGAGAGTGAGAGAACTTTCAGCTGGCGTGAATGTAACAGAGGTTAACATCTGTTTACCTGTAATGGTGGAGGAGGCAGTCTGGTCATCCACACACCCATACACAATCCACACAATGGGCATCCACACTTCCAGATTATATTGTATCCCATACAATATATTGTATCCCTTCCCCTTGGCACTAGTGACCCCTCGCTATACTGTACACCCTGGTGGCAGTCTAGTCACCCAACAGTGGTCATCCACAAAACAACATACACAGAAAACATTATATTGTAGTTACTGATTGTAGTTTTATCACCTACAACCTCTATACATTGTTCCATCTATACTCTCACCTACCATACCATAAACACATCACAGGAAACTTTTACTGTTTAGTTTCCACACTTCAACTAGTGCTGAGAGGAATACTGCTCACATTTTACAAACCAACATTATTTTTTCCCTATCACCAACACCTGTAAGATACGACAGAACAACTACAGAGTAAGTCTAGACTAGAGTTAACAGCACATGATTATCCCATAACATGTTTTACAGTTAGGTGTGGTAAATTGTGACGTAACGCCCTACCTTGGTCAACGCAGCTCCAGCACCACAACAACCTCAAGCCCTCCACCTCCTGTAGGAAAGCACACGTAGATCCAGTTCGTTAAATCCGGCGAGTGAAGTGAAAAAAAAAAGACTGGACGCACGACACATACACACACACGTACTACTGTCAGGCCGAGTGAGCCGCAACTGCCCAGCTGGAGAAGCTGTGAGCTGCACCAACCTGCCGACCTCCATGTTCCACCTCCTCCCTCCTACCTTCCCTCAAGCACTCCACCATGCATCTACCCTCTCTCTTGCGATCTCCTCCCCATATATGAGAAGTATTTAATGCATCCACCACTCCATGCACGTAAACACTATTTGCCAAAGGTACACATAGGCGAGTACAAATAGGAAGCGCGTCTGTCTGGCGCTCAGCAGACACTGGATCAACCCTCCACCACATCTTGCGCTGAATGACCCACATGGGTTTAGCATTTAACATGATTTAAAGAAACAGCAAAAACCAAAGGTACGTATTCACATTTGGTGAAAGCTTCATTCAAACAGTTAATATGTACTTACATCACTATACAGGTAAATGGGATAAATCACAGCAAATGCGTGATTCTAAATATAAAACAAATACCAGTGTGAATAGGAAAAATACATGAGCACTTCATGTGTTTACACACATACTCTGAAGATATGTGTGTAAGCACGTGAAAGCACTCAGGTGTGTTTCTAAACATGTAAATGTGTATTTTCTATATATAATGCATATAAATATGCATTATGGACCTTATAACTGGGTTAACACAATATTATTATACTTACGAGGAAGCACTAAACTCGAAGGGTCGTATAACGCCTGAGAAATGGAAGGCAAATGAGAGTTTAATCCGAAAAAAGGAAAGATAAATTCGATTTGAATCCTTTGTTCAGTCGTAAGGTAAAGGTAACTTATACATATACAAAAAGAGCTTGTGCTGAATGTGTTGTTTCTGTCGTATTAGCCCTTGTGAGTGAACTGTATTACCCTCCCTTGTGAGTGAACTGTTATTACCCTCCCTTGTGAGTGAACTGTATTACCCTCCCTTGTGAGTGAACTGTATTACCCTCCCTTGTGAGTGAACTGTATTACCCTCCCTTGTGAGTGAACTGTATTACCCTCCCTTGTGAGTGAACTGTATTATCCGCCCTTGTGAGTGGAGCGAAAATAAATCCTGAGAGATAGCAACAAAACTGTTTAAGAAACTCCAAACTAGTTGCGATGAACTAACTCTAACTTTCACCTAATAAAACTGTGATGTGTACCAGCACAAGCTGGTGGTAGTGGTGGTGGTAGTGAAGGAACAGTGATGTGTACCAGTACAAACTGGTGGTAGTGGTGGTGGTAGTGAAGTGATCAGTGTACCAGTACAAGCTGGTGGTAGTGGAGGAACAGTGATGTGTACCAGTACAAGCTGGTGGTAGTGGTGGTGGTAGTGAAGGAACAGCGATGTGTACCAGTACAAGCTGGTGGTGGTGATATACCATATAATATGTTTAATCTAAACACATCACACTGTGATTTTTAATTTTTATCGGGGTGAACCGGTGAACCAGAGAAAAGCCTTAATCAGATGACCAAAAGCTCCAGTTAGTGGATCTTTGTGACTGAGACCAGCATCAAGTAACACTTGTCCTGTGTCCTGATAAATGCAACTCCAACACCGTGTGTTTCAGAGATTAAAGTAGAGTATTCCAAACAGTATGGAAATAAGTGCGTTTACGTATCAACTTATTAAAGTAGGGAACGTTCTTGCCTCACACCCTGAGTGTCCGTGGTTCAGTCCCTGGCATGGATGGAAACACTGGGCATGTTTCCTTGCACCTGCCGTCCCTGTTCACCTAGTAGTAAGTAGGTACCTGGGTGTTAGGCGGGTGGTGTAGGTTGCAATCTGGGGGACAAGACTGAAAGACCCCATTGGAAATAAGACAAACAGTCCTCGATGACAATGATTTTCTTGGGTTATCCTGGGTGGCTAACCGGCTAACCCTCCGGGTTAAAAATCCGGACAAATCTTATCATATCTTAAGGTAATGAACCTTTAATTTTGGATTTGATATTTGCTAGAAAAGGAAAATAATAAATTATTTGAATCCAATAAGAACAAAATTTATCATGTTATCTTATAAACAGTGTAAGCAATATAGACTGTAAAATGTGAAGCTGCCCATAAACACTGACAATGTAGCAATGACCTAGCGAACATAATGTTAGTGACATGATAATTATGAAAAATTCTATCAGACTCCGATATAAAAGACTTTAAATTCTATATATAGGTATATCTGGCAATTGTCTTAGGAAAATTCTGTATTATTAGGAAAACGGGTCCACGGCCGACTCACTGAAAACAAAAGGGAGACATCTATAGTTTATCCAGATGGAGATGACCATAGTTCATCTATCCCACCCGACTCTTGAGCAAACGTTGGTCTAACACAAGAAAGCATGAAAATAGGCCCTAATTTATCGGTGTGGAACTACGACACTTCAGACAATCCAAAGCATTCATATAGGAATCCGGCCTCAAGTTATGCACAACAGCCTCAATTATAAACGAATCGAGTTTGAATAATCTGAAACTAATATATAATGAACGTTTATTATGTCTTATAATTGCCGATTCTAAAATATTTCTTTCCAGTCATGAGGCACAAGGACCTAGGTCCCTGGCTTCAGATCAATTTGCAGGATTGTTGCTAATTCGAGTGTGGTTGAAACTGCATTTGATTCCTGAGCTATTTGTATCAAATATCGGTGTTGTGTTAACCTAACATCTAGAGGTTTGCCAGTCTGTCCCACATAAGATAAGTTGCAGCCATTACATCCAATTGTTCCTCCAAACTAATCTGCTTGGACTTTCTACGCATTTCTGGAACACTACAGGCTCCTGATGATGTGTTGATTACAACACAAAAGGCCAAGAGCTATCATTCTACTCACACTGTGGTTGTTTTGCATCTTGCATCGCTTATATATATATGCTTACAAATTCTCTAGGTGCCTATACTTATTCTGGGAACTAGCTGTGTGGCTAAAGTACTGCTTCCTTTGATACAGTGTGCAGGTTTGAATCCTGCTGTGTCCTGAGAGATAATGTTTGTATATATATGTAGTGTAGTGAGGTAAAGATTCAGGTTAGGTTCATCATGTTGTAAGCTACCTTGCGTAGCTTACAACAGGATGAACATATACACGGCTAATTGTTAATGTGAACTTAGTAAAGCCCGCTGTGGGGGCGAAATGTTGGCAGTAAAGAATCGCATTATGCATTCGCGTCTCTTTTTTCTAAACGAGAATTTCTTGGGATTAGCAATAAACAAAACGAAAGATCAATAACTAGAAACTACAGGAAAAGTTTTTCAGAAGGAATATCTGAAAATATTTCCTCATAAATTGACGAACTGGTAAAACGAAATATTAGACAGCAAGCCCAATATTTTATTCATTTAATTGCAAACAAATAATTGCAAATATATAAACTTAGATAGGCATTTAAAGAAAGATATTTCATACTAGTACTTACAGAGAGGTCATTAAAAATAAGTAAATAAAAATAAATTATTGCTTTAACACGTCAGATTAAGCAAAGCATTTAAGTGAAGCAGTACGCCAAGATTCATATATATATATATTGCAACATGCTGGTGAGGGACTCGATCTAAGGAATTGGACTTGGCCTCTCTTTCCTTGTATCTAACAGTTCTAACCTGATTGCCTTCCATTCCCAGGGGTTGTATGGCTCCTATTACTTTAGCATTTTCCTCTAAATACTACTACTACTACTACTACTACTAATAATAATAATAATAATAATAATCACATTAGAGCGAGGGCCCCCCCATTACTAAATCCGGCACTGTTCTCAAGGGATAGCTCAGCGACAGAAACACGTCTTAGTTAAAATTATATCTACAATACTATATAATATAATATAATATATATATATATATATATATATATATATATAATTATATATATATATATATATATTTTATTATCACACTGGCCGATTCCCACCAAGGCAGGGTGGCCCGAAAAAGAAAAACTTTCACCATCATTCACTCCATCACTTTCTTGCCAGAAGGGTGCTTTACACTACAGTTTTTAAACTGCAACATTAACACCCCTCCTTCAGAGTGCAGGCACTGTACTTCCCATCTCCAGGACTCAAGTCCGGCCTGCCGGTTTCCCTGAATCCCTTCATAAATGTTACTTTGCTCACACTCCAACAGCACGTCAAGTATTAAAAAACCATTTGTCTCCATTCACTCCTATCAAACACGCTCACGCATGCCTGCTGGAAGTCCAAGCCCCTCGCACACAAAACCTCCTTTACCCCCTCCCTCCAACCCTTCCTAGGCCGACCCCTACCCCGCCTTCCTTCCACTACAGACTGATACACTCTTGAAGTCATTCTGTTTCGCTCCATTCTCTCTACATGTCCGAACCACCTCAACAAGCCTTCCTCAGCCCTCTGGACAACAGTTTTGGTAATCCCACACCTCCTCCTAACTTCCAAACTACGAATTCTCTGCATTATATTCACACCACACATTGCCCTCAGACACGACATCTCCACTGCCTCCAGCCTTCTCCTCGCTGCAACATTCATCACCCACGCTTCACACCCATATAAGAGCGTTGGTAAAACTATACTCTCATACATTCCCCTCTTTGCCTCCAAGGACAAAGTTCTTTGTCTCCACAGACTCCTAAGTGCACCACTCACTCTTTTTCCCTCATCAATTCTATGATTCACCTCATCTTTCATAGACCCATCCGCTGACACGTCCACTCCCAATATCTGAATACGTTCACCTCCTCCATACTCCTCCCTCCAATCTGATATTCAATCTTTCATCACCTAATCTTTTTGTTATCCTCATAACCTTACTCTTTCCTGTATTCACCTTTAATTTTCTTCTTTTGCACACCCTACCAAATTCATCCACCAATCTCTGCAACTTCTCTTCAGAAATCTCCCAAGAGCACAGTGTCATCAGCATATATATATATATATATATATATATATATAATATATATATATATATATATATATATATATATATATATTATATATATATATATATATATATAATATATATATATATAATATATATATATAGGCTAGAGTAAAAGCAATGCGGCTTATAAGTAAACAATAAT